GTTTTTAGAGACTTTTTCTCTAGAGACATGGCCCACTCATCCCTAACATGATCCGGACCCTGTAGGCTGCTGCTCATGTTAGTATCAAATTTCAGACAGACTTAGCGCGTTAATAGTAGGGAATTGGCAACAAATGAATATTCGTCCTCTCTTTGCGTAGTAAATATCTCGCTCATCCGGCCGAGTCAACCCGTTCACACTCTTCAATCCCTTTTATGAGACCCCATCGCAAGCGTACCTGGATGAGTCCTGTTTGTTGTAGGAAATAATAACTTGTGTAGAAGAAATAAAAGTGGTGTTAAATCTAACCTTGGCTCTCAAAGCAAGCAAGTCCGTCTCGTTGGGTGTTGTGAACTCGAGCTCGGAAGGGACAGTTTATGGGCAATTGCATGAAATTTGGACCCAAGCGATGGAATTGTGTATCCTTGTAGGAGAACAGTCGGCCCTCAAGCATTTTGTCTGGAGAAAATTCGATTCCAGGAACCACGTGAGCTGGACAGAAGGCTGCTTGCTCCACCTGAAAATGAGTATATCAAGTTTTTGAAACTAAGTCCATGGTGGGTAGAAAGCTGTCAATCCAAGCAAAATTCAGTTCATACTCATCGGATCATCATCATGCGTGTGCATGGGATGCATCTTTTAAAGGAAGATTCCACAGGAAGGTCGAAGGTTGAAGAAGGGAAATTCACCAGTGAAAGACAGGCGGACCCTAAGGGTGCGGACCGACACGCAATTCGCAGCGAAGGATATGCCCCGGCGATCTAGCATGGCCGTCCCCGCGCCGCTATCGACGCGGCACGCCCACCGACTGGCTAACCACTCGCCGCTCTCTAGCCGTTAGCAGAGAGAGCGTTAGCGTTGAAGAGAGCAGCACCGATGAGAGTCCATCAATGCAGAAACCATAGGCAAGTCCTATTTCTCTGGTTCTGAATAGTTTATCATGGTTTTTTCTTCGTCCCTGCACTACTGACCACCTCTACTGTAACTTTAATGGGCTGCCTTTTAACTATAAACTACATCTTTGAGCGCTGCATGGAACACATAACGTAAAGAAGGATTCCAGGAAAATATACTCTGTCGAAAGACATGTGGATCTTCTAACGGTGCGGAACTATGCATGTTCTGCAGCAAGAAATGTACCCTCAACAGCCGATCAGGGC